GGACAGCAAGGAATGTCTTATGATATATTAGAGTAGACAGAAAATAATCTCTCTCAGCAAGTTAGACCTCAAAACCACTTAGAAGTTTATTTTACCCTAGTGTCTTCCACACAATTGAGTCCACTCATTGGTCCTTTCCAAGTAAATGGTAATTTGGAAAAAGAAATATTAAGAAAACCAGTGCCTTTTGGGCTCAGTATATTGGGCTGGTCAAGAGGAACATTACTGGCTTAACGAATTGAAAATGATAAATCTTCAGGTTATTTCCATATCATAAAAAGAAATTAATCATGCAGACTAAAAAGGAAATCATAATCATATATTACTTACCCTTCCTATCCAGAGTTATGGTTTGCTTAGAAGTGAAATTTACACTTCAGGAGTTAAATGTGAAGCTGACATGAAATATTTGGTAGTCTATTTTAAGACTACTCTGCTTAAGATACTCTGCTTTTTTAAGATCAATAAGGCAAAAAAACCCCACAAAACCCTGTTTTTCATCTCTTCTGAGGCAATGGATACTTAAAATGAATTGCATTACTGCAAGAGTTTATGCAGTGCTTATAGACTACTAAAGTAAGAGTTCAGCGGTTAATTCAGAATAGTGAAGTCATCTATTGTTTGGAGGCTTTGTAGTCACAAGGGTACTGTCTGGCTTAAATGATCTAAAACTATAATTGAATATTCCTCCTGTGCTGCACTGTTAAAAGATGAGTGGCTTCACAGAGCAACAGGTTATAGACCATTCTACCTGGGGAAATTATTCTCTTAGAACTTCTCTAACTCTCTTCTGGTTTTTGTTTGTTCATTTGTTTTTATATTAACTGAATATTTCTTATTCATGACCATTTCCTATCTATTGCCTCAAAAGAAATGAAAAAAGGTTTTTTTTTGCCTTATTGATTTTAAAAATTGCTACAATAAATATCTTGTTTCAGAAGTATTGTCATGAATGGCAACGCACCTTATAATCTCAAAGATTTTAAGAGCTTGCCCAAGGAACTGGAAAGACTTTCCTGCCTGAAGTAGCATTCTCATAACATTGCATTAAAGTTAAATTTCATGATGGGACTGACGTCGGTACAGTCCAGTAGCCCTATATTCGCACTTGTGATGACAGTGCCATTGCTATCATCCAGTGGAATCCATCCTGTAGAACGCTATGCTCCTGCATACGGGTGTGATTTTTGTGGAACAAGCCTACTTTGCAAGTAAAATGTGGAAACTGTTATGAATGAAAGAGCACAGGAAAACTGGCTAGAAAGCAACTGTAGAACAAAGCAAACATTTGGGTAGGGAATGCCAGCATCACGAGGGCTTTCAGTACAATCCTCTGTACACCGAGAGAGCCTGGATGGTCCGCTGTGAGCACAGTAGGTGTAAGGAGCAGCAATAAAGGGCTACTACTTGTGAGACTGCATAACAGGTTTGCACTTTGAGCCTATCACTTCCCCTTTATTTTTCAAAGGCGGTAAAAATCACCCTTAGTCATCAAAACAATCAAAAAAGTACTGGACAAGGATTCTCTATGAACCTTGCAGTCTTACTCCACTTCTGAGTCCTCTGTATCGAGGCAGTTGTAAATCCACTGTCCGCAACCATCAAAAGCAACCATCATCAAAATAAACATGGGGAGGGGGGGAGAAAGAGTCCTATAGCAGTCAATTTGTTTTAACCCTTTTCCTGACCCTTGCTCCAGGTCCAGCTTGAAGGGCCTTTATCCTTATCATAAAAAGCCTACAGAAATCAGACTCATAAAAAATTCCACTTGCCGTGGCTAAAAGCATTTTAAAGCCCCCAGTGGAAAGCAGGATCCTGTACTTTTTTTGAGAATTCAACAGAGCAGAGAATATCAAATGACTGATGGGTGTTTGACAAGTTATGTCCCATCAGGAATCTCAATCTGACCGGAAATCACTATGAAAAGAATCAAAAGTATGTTCCCATTTTAAATACATTTGCATCTGGACAGAGGCAAATGATGACACAATGCAATGCTCATTCTAGAAAGTTCTGTCCCCTCCCCCCTTTTTTTTTTTGACAGCTTGATTCCAGCCCCAGACCCTGGAACAATAAATCTAATCCCCAAATAGATATAAAACTAAAAACAATTATAAACCTTTTTGTTCTCTCAAAAGAAGCATTCTGTCCCCATTTCAAAGAGACCTTTGTTCTTTAAATGGTTTTTCAAGATGTGATGTCCCAAAAATTGTGGACCAGATCATCATCTGGTATAAATTAAAGTAAACTTTTGCCAAGTTGCTCCAGTTGAAAATCTAGTGCATCTAAGAATTTATATTCATATATAGGCCCACATGATATAGTTGAAGGTATTGTGTTATCATTCATAACCATCAGTGGGATTAAGACAGCTACCAAATGGGAGCACTGAAGGGAAACTATAAGAGACATTGTCTCCCCAATACCTCCAGGTAGCCAGAATTTACCTCCTGGCAATGAAGAACATGGGCTATATATCAAGTACTGTTGTCTGCAGTAGTAGGAAGCTCAGGAGTGGATGGTTCTCACTGCAGCCGCGCATCTTAGGGAGCGCTGGGAGAAGGTTACACTAGTTTAAAAAAAATGCAGCAAGTCCCACTGCCCAGTTCATTCGTTCTTACCAAGTCTTCTAACATTGTTGGGGGCACAGACTAGGGATCATTCATCTTATAAGTGAGATTTTACTTTAAGTATTAAGAAAACATTAGTGTTTCAATGAGGCTGATAATTCAGCCTTAGACCTACATACTGAAGCACAAATATTGTACAAACCGCATGGAGACACTCCTGTACTCCCTGTTGGAAAAAGGGAACTGCTTAAGTCATGAATCAACAAAGCATTTAAGTATGTGCTTACCTTTAATGGGACTTAACATGCTTAAGTTTTGTTGAACAGAGGTGAATTAAATTCATGCTTAAGTTTACGCATGAGGTGCTATAACATCTGCCTTAAGTCTGAAAGGGTTTGCTTCTTGGAGATTTATGGGTTTGTAGTAATTGCTTTTGGTGGATTTGTAGGTGGAGGGATGTTAAAAATATTAATGAATCTTCTGCTGTTACAAGACCTCCTGGGGTTATCAAGCAGATTGTTGCTGGGAAAGACTGTAACAGTACAACAGCCCAATGACTGCATGCACTGGGTTTTGCAAAATACATTCAAAGATTAGTTTGCACAATTTTACTTTAAAAATCAAAAACTGCTCAGAGAGTAGAAAGACTCCCAAACCACCAAGCAATGCTTTTTTTGGCTCCACTGAATCTTTTAAAACAGCTGAGCAGAATAAAATCAATGCAAGAAAAAGGCAACAAGATTAGGCTATAGACAACAAAGGGCAGATCCTTATTTTAGTTGTTTCACTGTAAATCCAGAAGTAGCTCCACAGGCAGTATTGAAGTAAAAGAAGAATTAGAATAGAGCCAGGCTTAAAACTCTCCTTACAGACAATCTTCATGTTCCTACAAGATAAAGGGCCTGAGATATTTGAATTTCTGGATTTGCTTTAAAAGGCATAATCCCCACCCCACAACAAATGCACTGAGCATTCACTGCAATTAATATAAACTGCATTTACCCCTCTGAGAAATACCAGGCCACTTCTTTTGTAGCTTAAACATGAATTTAGATACATAATTTTCAAAAAGAAACCCAAATATAAAATCTAGAGGCATTCAGCACCAGACACATGACCCGATTTGAAGGACAGTTTCCGTCCTCCCTAACTTCAGTGGGTTTTGAGTCAGCAATTTCTTCTTCCAGTCTCTCATTACAGAGACCACTAAGGGTATTATAGAGGGAGAGGACTTAACTGCTGAGGAATGGAGTCCTGCATTGCTCAGCTCTGAGTCCTTAAATAATCAAACAGTTGTATTAATGGGTTTAACAGCCTCCTTGTCTTGTTGTCAGCCAAAAGAAGAGTGGTATTTAGGATGCTGTCCCTTGACAGTGAAAGAACACTGAAAAGAGTTCCTTCCAAAGGAGTTTATCCAGGATGTGAAAGACCTTCTGGCAGGAGAAAAGAGGTAAGGAGGTAACAGTCTGATTCTGGGTTCTCCTGCAACCATTAGCTTTCAATGCAATCTGAAGACTAGACACAGTGAGAGTTCGTGTGTGTGTGTGTGTGTGTGTGTGTGTGTGTGTGTGTGTGTGTGTGTGTGTGTGTGAGAGAATTTTTATGATGTTTCTCTTGCTTATGGGATCCATGTATCTCACTCAAAACCATTTACTATAAACAAACACGTATTTAATATAGTTTTTCCAGGAATTAAATGTAAATTGCATTTCATACATAATGCAAATTCCCTGATCATGCACAAGTCTAATGCAAAGGACATTATTTGTTTGTTTTGCAATTTCCCTAGTATTTCAAGTCACATCACCTGAAAAACATTTAGACTACATTTGGGTTGTGCTTTTTTTTTTTTTTTAAGCATCCAATTCACTACTAAGAAATGCAGATAAACTGATTTTTATTGATCAACTTCATGCTTCATCTCGCTCACCAGGATGTCTGAAGCCTGATTCACAGTAATTGAATAATCAATTTCTTGCTTCCTTAATAACTGAATTTATTAAATGAAGAATATATACAGCTGATATTTCAAGGAACTAATTTGCAATTTGAGACTCTGGAGGAATCCTTTAAAAAAAAAATCTGTATGTTTCATAAACCTGGAGATGTACAGTCAGAAGAGGAATAACCAGGAAGCTGGTATAAAATACCATTGCCAACATAGTGGCTGGAATTCGATTAGTACAATTTCACAGTTCTTCTTTAGATGCATTAGTCTCCAAAAAACATATTTACTAAGGATACATTTTCATTCTTTTATTTTGTTTCAATTTATGCATTACAACTGCCTTTTTCCACACTTAAAAAAGCCTGCTAATATTTTCTAAATCATAAATAAAATGAGAGAAAACCCCCAGCAGTCAACCCTCATTGAATAACAATGGTAAACCCACCAAATGGTATACAAAATACCTTGGGTAACATACTTACCATTTTTCTCAAAACCCAGGGAAGAACATGTGCTCTTCAGTGTTCCCTGAATATCAAAATACACATGTGATTTCAAATCAGAGCCTGAGGAACAAGTTCCAAACTCAAGGGACCTTTATTCAAAAGTTTTGCCAGTAGCACCTCCCTCGGACAGCAGGAACTCCAGCTGGGGCACCTCCACTGATCTCACACAACCTTCCCTGGGGTAGGGAGAGGTATGCTCACAAAGCACGTTATGGGGAATTACAAACCCAAGAACTTCTCTAAGAAACCAGACTGTGCAATGGTGTAACATGGCTACAGCAGGACATTTTGCTTAACAAAGTGGTCACTTCATTCTGTACCAGCTACGGCTTTTAAATGGATTTAAAGTCTATGCCAACACAGCAGGCCCCCTGGAGCAGGCTAATTTTATGAAGATAAAGGTAACAGCAGAAAAGTCTGCATCTAAAGAACCAGTTGTTACTGCTTCTTACCTCAAATAACAGAACAGAAGAGCATCTTCAGTCAAAGGGCAGGCATGATCTTTGCTACATTACTAGGATTACTTCCTTTTCCTATGCCTTAAGCTTTACTTAACTTGTCTTTATCCATGCTTTAATATCATCCTGTTAGGCTCCGCACTCTGGCTTGCTGCTCCACACTGCCTTTGGCTTTCCACTATGACCTACTACCCTGCAGCCTCCCTGGCTTTGGGAGCTGCAGTACCTGGAACTCCTTATTTCTTGCTGGGCTGGGCCATACTGACATGGCTTTCCTAGCTTGCTGCTTATATACCTCTAAAGTGGCTAAAACCCTCCCCAGTGCTACCCTCCTCCATGGTGATGGGGAAAGAGGACTTCTTAACAACCTCCTAATAGATGACAGTGCTGAAGAGAGCCCAATCGATCCAACACTACCAGTGAGGACACCTGATCTACATCTGGTATAAGGAATAGAACATCTGCCAATACAACTCTTGTGGTATTGCATGTAAACTGAAAGACCTGAGGCATTTATAAGATGGATTGTCACAATCTGCAAAACAATCCTAATGCAAGTTTAGGGTTCGTATACATTAGAATTTTTTACCATTTATACCAATACAATATTACTACCATATTTACTTGAATATGAGATGAGATTTTTTCCGCCAATCAACATGGGGCAAAAAGCCCCTTGTCTTACATTTGCATACAAGGAAGCTTCATTTAATATACTATCTTTCATTAAACTGCTGCCAAAAGCAGCATGTGTTCAGTAATGAAAACTAACTACAAAGTTGATTAAATGCAGTCAACAATGAGCAACACTATAAAATACATGGCCCATATTGGGCAAACATACTGATGAGATCCCTTTTTTTTCTTTGGTGCAGCCCTTAAAAGAAGAGGCAGATGTCCCTCTACAGGAAACTGGCACTGAGTCTGAAGGTATTGCAATACCAGGCTGGCATTGGGAGGACCGGAGCAAGCTCTGACACCGTCCCGATGGTGCCAAAAATTTATTTTATTCAAAATGTTAAAGTTCAAATAACAAAGTTCAAAGCACAAGGAAATACAGAAAGACCCAACTGGGAGACTACATAGTAGAGGGTGGGGGCAGGGATGGGAACGCAACTAAGTTACATATGAAACATGTAGTCAACTAAGCCCAGGGATGGAGGGGTGGGAAGAGAGGGAGCAGGCACAAGGCTTACAAAGCAGAGAATACACAGGAGACCCTACACAACAATACGGCATTGTAAGAGGGAGATGGTTTGGGAAACGCATACAGTTACAAATAACAACATGAAGGGATGGGAAAGA